ACATCACACATTTGGAATTAGGGTTTTTGAATTCAGCTGTAACTGTAAAAGTCTTCCGAGCTAAAAACAGACCTCTTCAGTGACTTTCATATGACCAGTATGTTATTTCAAGGAAGAAAATACCACTAACTTAAGCTTTTTTTTTTTTTGTCAATATTAAACTCTTGTCTCTGTGACTTTACACTTGGGAGTCAATTTTTGGCTACAATAGAATTATGGTGTATAAAGCAGTTTTGGATATTCTTAGTGGATTTTATTGGGGTCCTGTCAAACATCCTGATGTAGTCTTTATTGTTTAAGATGGTCTCTCTAATGCTGAACCTATTTCCTTGATCCTTTATGTTTTGTTGCTGCCTATACAAGCTTTGAAAGGGTTTAAGGATCCCTTGAGAGGAGGGGATATAGACATCTCAGGGAGCAGAAATTGCAGATGTGATGAAATCTTCATCCTAATAGATCTCCAGAGAGCTGAAATGCGACTGGTATTCTCTGGGATGTAAACTTTGCTGTTCCTTAAGTGGTATTTGGGCACATGTGTGGCCACACCTGGGTTTAGGCACAGGACTGTAGCTCTTGGGAGACTGTCTACAAAGCCTGAAGGCAAAAGCTTTCAATAAATGTTTTGATAGCTAATAAAAAACTAAAACATGACTGGCACACAGCCAGTAGACAAATCCCAGCAGGTTTCTGTCAGGGTGAGCACCAGTGTTGTCCTGAAGTATGTTGGTGGTGTCTAAATGCTCCATGGCTGGTAGTTAAAAGTGAGGTTCCTCACCCCCCACACCTCAGAGGAGGTGGAAAAAAGATGAAAAACAGCTGTTTCTGCCCCTTTGCAATGGGAGATGCTAATCAAGGAGGAGTAAGTGGTGTATACCAAAGATTTGCACCCATGGTTCCTGCTTGATGATGGTCTTCCTTGAGATAGCCTGTGACCTGGTGGGCTTGGCAAGGCAGGCAGAGCAGCTCTGTGAGGGTGGGGGCTATCTTCAGGTGGGCTGCAAGAGCTCAGAAGGTCCCCATTAGGTCTTTGCTGCTGAGGTCTCCCTTGACAGCACAAAGGGGAAAGCAACCTCCATCTCTGGCCAAACCTGATGGAGAAGCAGTTGTGCTGAGTTGAGAGCAGCCCAAGAAGGCAGATGAGCCAAAAGCAAGCCACGATGGATGGATGGCATCAAAACTCCCTCCTGCATCTCCAGGAGAGGGCTGTGGTGGCTGGGGCTGAGGACGTGCTCCTCAGCGCTGTGGGGCCAGATGGTATGAATCAACGTGCAGGACTCTAAATATTATAAGCGATGGAAAATAGCGAGCGTGTTTCCACAGTTGTGATCTGATTCCGTAACAGGATTTAGCATTTGCAAGTAACAGTAGGTAACATATGGCAGGGGAGCCTGAAGCTGGTGTTTTGAATTTTTTGCTCTAAAATGGTAGGTGTGTGAAGTGGACTGGCTCCACTGGGGAGACCCAAACCACAATAAGCTAAATGGCTCTTGCAGGACACTACCCCAAGAGCTCTGACCATCAGTAGAGAAGGTAAATCTTATCCCAAGGCTATAGTTTCCTTTCCAGGCCTATTGGCTCATCAGAGGTTGCAAAAATAGGCTTCCTGAGGGGGGCTGGATCATGGCTACTGATGGAGAAATCATAAAAGGGTTGGAGACGAGTGTTATAAGTCCCCCCCTCTGCATTTTACTACTTTTCCTATTTGTTATGACTTAATTATTCTTAAATTTCCCTCTTGGGAAGACTGGTTGGAAGCCTTGGGCTGAGGGTTATAGCAACAACCTCTACCTAAAACGGTGATGCTTCTAGTATTAAAAAGCAAACATCACTTAATTAAACACTGATGTTGCAGAACAAAGCACAAGTGAAATTGTAACTAGTAACATTACTAATTTATCTCGAAAAGTATTGCTTCGAACTTCTGCTGGCTAAATCAGGAATACTTTATTCCAAGGCAGAGGAGAAAGCTGGGAGCCTTATGTAATTGTTCATCTGGAATAATTGCTAAAGTAGGAAGTGAATGTTGTGGTGTTAGAGAAAGGAAATTTTAGATTCTGAAAGCAGTCCAGATAAATATCTCTGATGCAGGGATGCTTTCTTTTATGCTAATGCCCCATTCTAGTAGGGAATATGAATTCTCCAGGTTTCCAGTGAAGAAATTGCTGGGGAAACAGCACTTCCTTTGCCTAATACATGAAATTGCTCCAATGGAGAAATAATTAAGTTCCTAAGCAGATTAGCCATGTGCCTCAAATATACATGGGTGCATCCGAAATTAACCTCTTCTAAATACTCTGATGAATTTGTTGTTAAAACCTAGATGAGAGACGATCTGATGTTATCTGGCACTTTGCATTTCACCACCTTTTTTAACCAAACCCAGATTTTGTGGTTTTGCATCCGTTTTCGTGAAAGATCAATGGTAATTGCTGAAGATACTACATGAAATTGCTCCAATGGAGAAATAATTCAGTTCCTAAGCAGATTAGCCGTGTGCCTCAAATATACATGGGTGCATCTGAAATTAACCTCTTCTAAATACTCTGGTGAATTTGTTGTTAAAACCTAGAGGAGAGACGATCTGATGTTATCTGGCACTTAGCATTTCACCACCTTTTTAAACCAAACCCAGATTTTTTGTGGTTTTGCATCCGTTTTCATGGAAGATCAATGGTGATTGCTGAAGATATGCATAAGATGCTGGTATGAAATCTGAAAGGTAAGTAGAGAACTCTTCTGTTTTTCCTTAAATGTTGAGTTCCTTTTCATAAAGGGATGCCCATCCCTTTAGAAGTGAAAATGGAAAGTAGACACTTAAACTGGTTCATCTTCAAGATAAGTGTTGACTGTCATGAAGCAAGCCTAGCTTTTTGCAAAAAAAAAATATATATATGGGCAACAAATGTTCTGGAAATCAATAGAAGTATGTGTAACTACAGAGGAAACCACTCCCTTTTGTGAAAATTGATGCTACATCCTAGTTCAGCATATACTCTGATGAATTTGTTGTTAAAACCTAGATGAGAGACGATCTGATGTTATCTGGCACTTTGCATTTCACCACCTTTTTTAACCAAACCCAGATTTTGTGGTTTTGCATCCGTTTTCGTGAAAGATCAATGGTAATTGCTGAAGATACGCATAAGATGCTGGTATGAAATCTGAAAGGTAAGTAGAGAACTCTTCTGTTTTTCCTTAAATGTTGAGTTCCTTTTCATAAAGGGATGCCCATCCCTTTAGAAGTGAAAATGGAAAGTAGACACTTAAACCGGTTCATCTTCAAGATACGTGTTGACTGTCATGAAGCAAGCCTAGCTTTTTGCAAAAAAAAGTATATATATGGGCAACAAATGTTCTGGAAATCAATAGAAGTATGTGTAACTACAGAGGAAACCACTTCCTTTTGTGAAAATTAATGATACATCCTAGTTCAGCATAGGTTACATCTTCTTTTCTTGAATGTGGTACCCTTCTAAGTTCTTGCTTTTTGCCTTTTGGTTTTGAAGGAATGCAAGTTCCAGCAGAAGCAGCAAAAGGTCCTCATAAACTGAAAGGAGTGGGATCAGAGCAAGAGTGTTTCTGGATCACTGTCCCGCGGACCAGTTTGATCCATCTTGACAAAATAATCATTCCATCAAAATAAAAAACACGCCTAATAGAAAGTTTACTGTTTAGAAAGCAAAATTAGCAATTTAGTAATAATTGCTGGCTATATTATGAGGCCATCTTGCTCTCTCCAGCAGGTACTGCATTTTTTTTGGTCTCTGGAATAGCACACAAGGTTAATATGGGTTTCCTCCAGATGAACACAGTTCCTCAAGTATTACTTTATTCATTTGTGTAAGCTGCCTGAATCCAATTACAGTTAATTACCAGTCATTATAGGTACAGATTTCTTTAAGCGTAGATTTTTTTATGCTGTTGGACGTTTGTACCTGTTGGTTGCCAAAAAGCACAGTGATAATACCTCCGTATTTAAATGAGTTTTAACTGTATTTCCCTGCCAAGTGTTAACGGATCTGCACACCCAGAAATGGTAACGTGGGACTGACAAGTCCCGAAACTGGTACAGAAGGGCGGAAAGTCAAACGCCCCGTTCTTCCCTGAATTTAGCTAAGGATTTTCCATTTTTGGATGTTCTTTTAGAGCTGAAGTGTGGGCCTTTGTAAAGAACACGGTGTTTCCTAATTTCGAAGAGTTTTTCTTCATTCAGAAGCTTGAAGGAAACTACTACAGTTTGTCTGAATTCGTAGTTAAAAATGAGCAGTTTGGCGTTTCTGTGGCTTGTACTGTTTCTGACTGCAACGGGGCTGATTCTTAAGAGTTTTAATCTGGGTTTTTAATCTTTAGGCTCAGCTGACACCCAACCAGCCTCCTGGGACAAAGCTGCAGCGATGGCCACACCAGCAAGTCAAGGGCTTAGAGTTCTTTCTCCCTCTTACCTGCATACATACTTCTTTTATTTATAGGTCTCATCTCCAGTAGCTCTTAAAGCCTTTGATCTCAAAGATCAACCACTTCCAACCCCTCTGCCCTGGGCAGGGACACCTCCCACCAGACCAGGTTGCTCCAAGCCCCATCCAGCCTGGCCTTGAACCCCTCCAGGGATGGGGCAGCCACAGCTTCTCTGGGCAACCTGGGCCAGGCTCTCACCACCCTCACACCAAAGAATTTCTTCCTAAGATCTAATTTAAATCTCCCTTCCTTTGGTTTAAAACAGTTTCCCCTTGTCCTGTGGCTGCTCTCCCTGATCCAGAGTCCCTCCCCATCTCTCCTGGAGCCCCTTTAGGGACTGGAAGGGGCTCTAAGGTCTCCTTGGAGCCTTCTCTTCTCCAGGCTGAACACCCCCAACTCTCTCAGCCTGTCTTCATAGGAATTCTTCAGGTTCTTCCAGGTTGCTAGTGGATACTTCTTCAAAAGAGTCTTTTTCAGGTAAATGGTTCAGTTGGTTTTGCATTGGGTCCTCTCAAGATGAGGAAGGATTTCACTCAAATGTTGGTTTTGCATTGGGTCCTCTCAAGATGATGAGGAAGGCTCTCACTCAAACCCACAAGAATTGTTTTTCTGTCCATTGCTGGTTGGGTAAGACATTTTGCTCTCAGCGGTAAAACCAGATGTTACTGTGCAACTGTTCAAGTCCCACAGACTGACGTATCCTGGAAGGAAAAAGATGTTTATTTTTTACTATTATCATGCCTCTTTTGTGCCAATTCTCCGATTATCCTGCAGTCTTTGGAACAGCTCGAGGATTATGGATTTCCACTACAGCTGGTCAGTAAACAGTTCTATTTAGTGAAAATTCTGGCAAATTTTTCATTAAGTGAAGCTGTCATTTGCCTTTCAATCCAAGTCTCTTCTTAAGATCAAGCTCATATTGCACCTGAATCCTTTCTAAATTTTGGTTGGGGTGTAGGGTAATGGTTTTAAAAGCTTATTTTGACAAATTCTGCTTTTCCCCCCCCACCTATTTCTGCATTCTTTTGGTTTTCTGGGCTGGGCAAGTTCAGTATTAAGTCAGTCAGTGATGTTTTAACTGCAGGTGTTGGACTGGACTGCACCTCCCTTCTGCTGCAGAACGTTACTGACCTTAGCACGGCCAATTTCCTACTTCTCAGAGATATGCTTCACACATAAATATATATCGGGCAAGTTCTAAGCAGCATACCCACAGATTCCATCTGTAATTACTTCTCCTGTTCCAGAGGTCTTTCAGCACTTAGCGAGCAGGCAGAAAATCAAATCCTCCCCAAAGTTTGGCTTCTGCCTGCTTAGGGAGCACCTCCGCTGGCAACGGTGGAAGAGGTGAGTGAATCGCACCGCAGTGATTAACCGCGCGCGTTAAGAGTAGTCAAAAGTTACAGTTTATAGTTGGAAGAGTGAGGGGGAAGCAACTTGGGTACTCCCGTGGTTGAAAGTAGTGTGACTTAAGAAGCCAGAAAGAAAACTTTCATCTCCCGCTGAGAAATGGAATAAAATAACAAGAATTCTAGAACCTTTGAGAAAAACTTTCCGTAGAGAAATTAGGATAAAATCCTGCCCCAATTTAAATAAAATTCTGTTGAGCAGGGTTCTACCCAGCTTACAGATTTCCAGCTTCCTTTGACTAAAGCCTAAAAAAAGATTAAAGCTCCATGGCAACTGCTATCTTAACTCCTGACAGCCATAGTATAAATTACATCTTGGAAAAACCTAATACTGAAAGTTTTATTTAGGTCACCAGTCAGGCTAGGAAACGGTAGGCTTAGAGATGCCACCTCAGACTTCATGCTGCCCCTGCGTGGTCTGGGCAAGGCAGAGATTTTCTTTTGTGGGAGGCAAACTGGATGCTATATAATACGCAGTATGGATTTAAAAATATGTCAAGTTTCAGGTGTGTAAATTTGATTCACACTTTTGGTGCAACACTGCTATTTACTTGAAATTTAACATGCCAGCGAGGAATACAGTAAGATTCATCTAGGAGACAGTATTGGGTTTTTTTATTATTTTCTTTTTTTTTTTTTTTGGATGGAGAAAGGTTTTGTAATTAATTAATTTGCCCACAGGTGCCCCCAGCTTTCATACTTGTGCCACAGAAGCTATGTGTCCCTTTCAGGCTTGTAAGGGGATGCTGCTTTCTTGCTGTTTGAAATTAAAAACAAATAGGGTATTAGTTTGAGTGGTGGAAATGAATACAAATGAGCATTAAAAGTCTAGAGTAAAGGGAACCTGTGGTAAACAAGAACAAAACCCTCCAAATTTCTGCCATTTGCATGAAGATTATCTGTACTGTTCTTTCCTTAGTTCCACTTTCCTGTGCTTTGACTATTTTTGACCCTGTGTCTCTGAACTGTTCAGGCCTTGAAGAATGCCTTTAACTGTTGTCTGAGGAAGGCTTTATCAGAGTCATTGAAATAAGCTGATGCCCGAGACAGGGAAGGATCCTTGGGACCCCTCCTGGGGATGATCGATCCTGCTCTCCAGAGCAGGAACAAAAAAGGGGGGGCTGCAGGCTCCCTACTCTGCCAGCTGCTGGGGGGCAGACACAGAATTATGCCAAGGCTCCTTTTGACCCCATCAGATAGTAAAGTTTAAATCCTCAGTATCCGTTTACAGGGAGAAAGTACCCATAATTTCTCAAATAAAAATAAAACCAAGATAATATCAAAACCATACCAGAGTTGCAGCCCACTATATACCTGCGTTATTGCCTACTTAGAAATTTCAACCTTGTAAATGTTTAATGCTAACATGCCATCTATTACTGGAGAAGGCTGAGAAATAGAGTTGGAGAAGCGTTACCGGTATAATAATCAGTTTTACAGACCTGTAGGGCTCCTTTTGCCCTCTCCTCCAGCAGCTGGAGTTTGCTGATCACAGTATGATGTTACACCTTCACAACCTGGAATAATGTTATCCTGGTGTTCAGATGGTTCCCAGACTTTTTATCCTGCAAACAGATAACAAAATCATACTCAAATGCATGTAGATGGTGAGGTCTGTAAGAAAAATACCCAGTATTTTTTTTTCCCCTTAGGTGTGATACTGAGATGCTAACGAACAATCGTATTATCAGTTGAACAGAGTGAGTTATAGAGGTTAACCAGGAGAGCTGGGACTCAGGATGCAAGATAATCTCCCTATTAAACGGCTTTAGGGAGTGTTTTTAAGAAGTTTCAAAAATGGTAAATGACTTGGCTTTCTGAGTATCTGAAAGGTCACTGGAATTCCTGCGTCTGTGAAGAAGTCTTCATATTAATTTCACAAAACTCAGCAGTGTTAAATAATGATAATTTAAATCGTACAGAAACAGACCACGGAGCATTTATGAAAAAAAAAACAAACAACAAACCAACAAACATACCTTGTTGGCTATGATTTTCAATGCAGTAATCTGTAATCTAATGATAGTATACACCGGAGTAGCAAATTCACCTACATTATGATTGCATTTTATTTAGTAATCGAAGGTAAGATTAATTTTGACTCTTTCCTCTCTTAATATACTTGTAGTAAACAGCAAAGGTGTTTTTCTTTAGTGGCATCACAAATGTTTTGGCACATGCTTGTGGCTGTTGCCAGGGAGACAGAATTGGTTTGGGGGAAGCAGGTCAGGCATAAGTCTTGTATTTAATAAATTATTTAATTTTTTTTTTTTTTTTGCCAACACCTCTCTCTCTCCTGTATTTAATGACTTGTCATCTGTACTCGCTGGCATGAGGTACAACAGCAGAGAAGAAAGCACCCACGGATTTCAAAGGCTTGACTTTGTGGAGTGCACCAGAGTGACTGAACCGCAGCTTCAGCAACTGCCAACCGTAAAAGGCTGTTAAAACTTACAAGAATTAAAGGAACTGAGAAGAAATGTAAAACTTTTCTACATAATGCAAATCATGCAAGTCCATCTCAGGAGGAACGTCTTGACTACAACCAGAAACATTCTATTCTATTTCTGGATGAAGGTTTAAAAAAAATAATAAAAATAAATCCTGATATTTTGGAATACAGCCTCTAGGCAGATATTTAAAAAAAAAAAAAAAAACCACAGTAGGAAAAGGTTTTTATTCAATTAAGACCATGTTATTTTGCTTCCCCAACCAACAGATCATTTGATAAGGCTCCTTCTTGAAACTTATGGCCAAAGTAAATCTACATATAAAGATATCTAAAAGATACATAGTCCTAGTTTACCTTCTCACTAAATTAAGCACAGCTTCTAATTGAATCATCTGATTAATATAAAAATGACATACTTCCATTCAGCTCTGTATAGCTGAAAGGAAGGTCTTTAGGCTGACTGCTTTCAAATGCCTTTTTTTTTCTCTTCTCACTGATATTATTTTCCAACAGCTCATGCCTTTCTTCTCTACCTGTTTCTCCCAAGTTGTTACGCGAAGGCGCTCTTCAGCAGATGCTTCATCTCCCAGTCAACAGCCTGGATAAATGACAAGACCAAAGACCAAGGTGCAATTTTAAATGGTGGCTTTGGCAAAATAAGGAATCTGCACAAAGCAGCTTTGGTCTCTGTTCAGAAGCTGGCTCTATTGAAAAAATAAAGCCATAATGATGTTGAAACTGTTTAATTTTGCCATTATTTATCAAAAATGAGGAGAGACAGTGGAGACAAGCTCCTGAACTAAAGCCAGTTGTGTAAATACTAGCTAACGAGGTGGCACCAAGCTCGTTCCTGTAAGATACTGCTTGTGTTGTGAGCAAAAACATCGAAGTTTCTACTGATGGCTCAAGTGCATCAACCGAAAGCATCTAATGTACCCTAGTTGAAGTCATCTAACTCAAGGCTCTAAACCAGCTAACCTTCTGGTGGGTCAGGGTTCTTCATGGGAAGGAGCTGAAAAAATAACTTCTGCCACGATTTTCAACCACGTAGGGAGGTAAAATATTTAATGGAACATTGTGAGTGTCAGCTGAAGATGGTGCTGATAGAAACAACTCCATTAAAATAGATTGTGTAACAGCATTGGCATAGTTTTATTTCAGTGTATGATTTCAAGCAGATCTCTGGACAAACCTTAAATAAAACCCGTTAGAGATCACCATGTATGCTGTTATACTTGGAAAGATCACGAAAAGAGCACAACTAGAGAGGCTGACTGGGTTTCCAATAGCTCTAAATAAATGGCGTGCAGAGCTTCTCTCAGTTGTCTCTCATTACTACTGTGCAAGCCCTAAAAAACACTAACTTTCTTCTAATTCTTATTTTGTCTATGAATATAGACACTGGAGTCCTCTCACCTTCTACTGGAACCTCACTGGGTATCTGGGACCAGCTGGCTGCCTTTATCACTAAATTTTCCCTAGATCTCTTTATTTTGTTTGATGCTTGGGCTTCCAAATGGTACCTTCTTCAGCTCAGAGCCTCCCCATGTTGTTTGTGTTACTGTGATTAGACGGAATGATCATCATCTACTTCAGCTGGGAAAAGAGGGGGCCGTTCACAAATAGTCATACTTAAAACCCGAGTCCCATCTAAAGAGAGCACTGATCAATAAAGATGACACAACAAAGCCTAATTTCCAACAAATCATGCAACTCTTTAGTAATGACTGCCCCATGTTCCTGCTTGTTTCCAGTTTAGATCAGAATATGTAAGCAGAAACTGATGTATTTGTCATTTTAAACTATCGATTATCTGTCATTTGTCTCATTTCTTAAGGTAGCAAAAAGCTGGCAAGATGACCAACCATTGTTTTATCATACTCAGTGAAAGGATGCAAGTGAGTGGAAGAAAATTATATAAGAGTCATTTTGTTTGAAAAGATGACTCAAGTTTCAGAAACGTGCAAAATCCTTGAGTTATCAGCAGAAGCACAAAATCTATTAACTTATTCTTTGCATTTCATGAAGTTACTTTATCAGCACTAGCCAGTTTCCTTGATTTTTTCCTGTCTGGGCGAGTGATTCAGTAGAGGAACTTGATGACTGTGGAGTGTTCCATTCATGTAATAACAGAAGGGCAACATATTCAAGAGTTTACCTGTTTTCCATCATTACTCCAAAACCTTCTCTACTGGCATCATCTGTAATTGTCAAGCAGTACACACCTGGCTCATTTTTCAATATTTTTTAAACCTAAAATTTGGAAAAATAATCATTTTGGGTATCTGTCAGACAAACACCTCCACTATTAATTTGATATTAATCTTAAGTGGGAGGTGTCCCTGCCCATGACAGGGGGTTGGAACTGGGTAATCTTTAAGGTCCCTTCCAACCCGAATGATTCTATGATTAAGGAATAGCAGTTAATTTATTATTTAATATAGTACAATAATCAATGACAATAAAAAACCCCTAAGATTTGAAGAGAGTAAGATCAACATGTCACTAATTTGTCCCCATTGCAAAAAAACCCCACCCAAATCTTGTGAGATGAATAAATAGAAATGCTGTTTTAAGACACTAAGTAATTATATGCTATTCAGTTTTGGAAACCACACTTTAGGGGGGAGGGAGTTCAAATAAGCAACAAGATAGAGAAGAGCTGTAGAAGAAAATGACTTCTAATGAAAAATAGAACAAAGCCTAGAAACAAGAGGACTGAAGTCAATAGTCCTCAGTAATGTGAAAGCTTGTTTCCAAGAGGAAATGGACAATCTGTCTAAGTGAAAAGGGCAATAATTAATGTCCTTTGGAAGGAGCACTGAAGGTTTAAATAAGACACTAGGGAGAAAACAGAATAAAAAAGAACTGTCCAACCATAATGACAGTGAAGCACTGGAATATATTACTTTGGGAAAGTAAAGATCTCTGGTGATGAAGATGCTACGAGACAGGCTAGACAATCTTGTCAGCATCGGTTTAATTGTAACCGATCCTGCCTTTGGGCAGGGGAAATGGGTTGGATCAACTGTTGTTGAGCTGTGGGAAGGCACTGACATCTCCTTGGAGGCCAAGACAAAGCACCAGGAGAATTTAATCTGATATTTCTCCTTCTTCCTACCTTTTTCCCTACGAGTTCTCTCTGAAAACTAAATGGATTTCCTTAGCTCTGCTTTCTACTTTTGCATATGTAATTTATTAAAAACTAATTATATTCTCCACACTTGTAGAAAATTAGATAGATGTTCAGGTATTTTGAGAAGCAAACCCAGATACTACGCTTTGGTTTCTACCTATTCAAGAAACACTGGAATAGCGCTTCACAGAATTTTCTTTGATAAGTGTTAATTTTTGGTGGAAGGGACTGGCAAAAGAAGTACATGAATTTTTAGCAACTAGGGAACATGTTCAGTAAGTAATCCTTGCTGCATTGATAATTTCTGAGTAGTTTCATGCAAATAGCCACCATCCAAGCTCTTGGTTATTTTTATAAATACCACACATAGCAGTCACTTTTCAACATGAAAAGTGCATTGAAGCTTAAAAAAAAATAATAATACCTACCGTTCCGGTTTCTATTCACACTCTGATAAGGTTGATTTCTTTTCTTCTTCAGTGCAGCTTGGGAAGCACCAGGCAGTGGCCAATGTAGGTCAAGGTAGTGGTCTATAGAAAGAGGATGGATGTGCTAGTTTCAAGAATCATAGAATCACAGAATGGTTTGTGTTGGAAGGGACCTTAAAGATCACCCAGTTCCACCCCCCTGCCCTGAGCAGGGACACCTCCCACCAGACCAGGTTGCTCCAAGCCCCATCCAGCCTGGCCTTGAACCCCTCCAGGGATGGGGCAGCCACAGCTTCTCTGGGCAACCTGGGCCAGGCTCTCACCACCCTCACAGCAAAGAATTTCTTCCTCATATCTAACCTAAATCTCCCCTCTTTCATTTTAAAACCATTACCCCTCGTCCTGTGGCTCCCCTCCTTGATCAAGAGTCCCTCCCCGTCTCTTCTTCCCAAGAAGAAGCAGCTTGGAGAACACAGAGAGATGATGCACGTGGTAGGAACACACTGGCAGGTCAGTCACAAGCTCAAGAACTTTCTGCAGGGTTATAAATGAGATTTTTAAAGTGCCAAACATATCTAATTAAAATATGTACCCTTATCTGACTTCTTAGCATAATTATTTTTATGAGTAGTTAAGCAGCATTGGTGTTGGTCAATGAACCTTAAAACCAAATGGACCTCTAGGCATAAATCCTTTCACGTGGACATATATATTACTGTATATGTACACATATGTACATGGGAATAACGTTTCCAGCTGTTCTCTCTGCTGACCTGATGCAGTGATGATGGAGAAAATGTAGGCAAATCATGTCAAATGAACACAGGACAGACGATACACAGTAAGTCAGATGGGAAACTATTCATAGCAAGGCCAAACACAGGTCTCCAGCAGTACTTTATATGGGCACATGGCAATAAATAGCAAAGATAATTAATAAACTTTGCAAACTAGTGAAAAAACGCATTCTGGTTACAACAAACTACGAAAATCTAATTATAAATTAAAATTTGATCTTTAGGAATAAAAAAAATAGGGTTTCCACTCGGAAAATTAATCATCATTGTAAATAAAGTAATCAAAAGGTGGACTTAATTATGACTATGACCCCAAAACACTTGCCTATTCAAGAACTTCCTGATACTGGACCATAATGGAAACTATGGAGTGAAAACAAGATAGAAACAAGTAACATTAAAAACAAAAAAAGAACCCAAACAAAAAACCCAAGTAAGACAAAGCAGCTTCTCAGCATTCCAACAGGTACTGCATAACTTAGCCATCAATTAGCAGAACAGCATTTTGAGATTGAGTGAAACTGTAATGGTGTGAATTTTGTGTTGTGTTAGGAAAAAAGATCTGCATCATACTAAATGATAAAATACTTTATTTCACTCTGTGATATAATTTATCATTTAGTACGATGACAGCATTTTTGATTATTTGTATTCTAGCATCTACAATGCAGCAAATTGCAATAAATATAATCACAAATCCATGGAAATAGAAGACATGGACAGAGAGTGATGTCATTTACTTCATCCGACACAAATTATGCACATGTGCAAGAAAATGCATGTACATTGTAATTAAAGAAAACACGATATATTCAGATGTTGGTTTTTACCTTTCCATCTCCACTAAGCGAGTACTGATCAACGGCGTTGTTTTTCACTAGCAAGTTGCATTTTTCCTATTTCTTGTTATACTTCCTTCTATCTTAATTTCCTTGCACTTTTTCCATGGGGTCCAATAGTCAAAATAGTCTACAACTCAAGACTTCAAGATGTCTATAGAAAGAAGTGACGAAAACTCTCCGTACGCTTACCTTCACTTCACTCAGGACAGCCCTGCCAGAGGAGAAAAATCTATGGGTTACAGATGGAAAAAAGATTGGGAACCCCTGGTCTAGAGTGGTGTCTAAATAGTATTTAAGTGAGCATAGTCACAAGTCATCCCTCCCACTTTTCAGGCAGCTAGAGGGTCACTAATTCTTGCAGTTGAAGGAATATAATAATTGTACATCACTCTGGTCTTCATCTCTTTGATCTCCCTGTTTCAAGACAAGGAAACTCTGGCTTTAAGCTGGTTTATTTATTACAATAATTCATATTTCTGTGCCAATATACAGCCTGGACAACCAATGTTTCAGCTCCAACTCTGCAATGCTAAAGAAGTTAGAGTTGTCTAGACCTGTTGCTCCCTTCCTCATTCTCCTTTTGGGTGGAGCCTCCTGGTAGAGGTCCCTGGTGGCCTTTGACAGAAGATGGCCTGCCAGAATAGGTCGCTCAGGAGTTTTGCCTTTGTATTCTGGCCTCAGCCAACGCCTTACAAACCCAGTCTCCAAATTCCCAATGACAAAAAAAAGGTCCCTGGCAAAACGTCAGGATTCTTTGACATCACATGAACCATGTTCTGGGAACAGCACCAAAAGATCTTATCCAAACATTTCTCACAGGCCTCACAAACGCTAGGGAAAACCAACACGGGCCAACAGACAGGGAAGAACAAGTTGCATCTTTCTGCTCCAGTGAGGTCTTTATAGGTTCTTTATCTGGGTTTTATCGCCAGAAAGTGGCTTCATTTGTCTTCCTCCATTTCTGGAAAAGGGAGCCTGAGCACACAGTTTGGGTCCCACAGCAACTTTGAAACTAAGAAGTGCAGCTGACCTTAACCAGACTTAAAGTTTTCCACTCAGATACACAATATACTGTAAAGAATTGCTTATTTTCAGATTTTAACTTTATTTAGGGACACTTCCATAAGTATCTGATGGATTTTAGGAGAATGCCCTTCTCTTAAGCTAATGACTATCATGACTCCAGAAAATAAAAAAAATAGGAATAGATGACACAACAATCATTCTATTTTAAAGTAACTAGCAACTAGTTGTACAGAGTGTGAACATATGGTTTGTTCTATATGTAAAACTTTGTGGATGATGCAGTCAGAGACGAGCTCCTACCTGTTCTCAGAGAGGCCAAGCAGTAGCCCTCCCTCAAGAATCCTGTACTCTTTATTTTGGCAAGAAACGAGGTAATGACCTCTGACTGTTTCCCCACATACTTCTTTTTCAAAAGGTCCTAAATTAACAGAGTCTAGTAAAAATATATTAAAAAGCCCCACCTTCCTGCTTTGTGAAATTATCTAAGTAAATGTCCTGTTGAATTAGGTTTTACAGAAATGTAAAAAAAAATGCACACCCCCCGAACTTACTTTCTGAATAAATTTGCATTTAGTACCTGAAAAATGAGTCTCAAGAGAATCTGTAAGAGAGGCCAAGCCCTTGTCTATGAAGCCAAAGTGTTTTGTATCCCTCACCAGCACCATTTCAATGCTTTCTACAAGTCCCTTTTCCAATTGAACAGCATGGCATTTTGATTGAAATCACTCCAGCGCTGAGATTCCTGCAAACAACAGATCTCCAAGACAAGAAAAAAAAAGCCCAAAACACTCACCAATCTACAAAGTAATTATTCTGCCTACAGAGTTATCTCTGTTATGTTTTAAAGTTTGTAGTGGCTTGGTTTATGAACCTTCTGAACACTGCAGTGACAATGATCTCCAATTCCCCAGTATAGATGTATACATATCCAGTTGGGACATAGGGCTGAAAGACTGACCTCACTGAAACCAGTGGGAATCAGGAGTTCACTTTTGGAATTCTGAGCTTTCATCCATTAAAAAACCCACTATTTTTCTTAATTTTTTTGCTAGAATTTGGCTGAGATACGGTCTAAAAAAGTCCCCACATCAAGGTGTTGCGATGATGGGTCCTTTGGCTAACTCCTAACGCTCAATTTGTTTTTAACTGGCTGATTCCCACGGGGCTCAGAATTGTGTTCATTTATGTCAGTTCTGAATCCAGCCCTTTGCAATGTGTAAACTACTTCAGAAACAGGCAAGGCAATTTAGACACAAATTACAGAAATTATTATATTTTATCTGTTTTCAAGGCCGAACCAGCTTTTAAAGGTTTCAGTCATGATTTCATATACAACGTTGTGCCTGTCATGTTGTCTTATCTTAGAATGGTTTGGGTTGGAAGGGACCTTAAAGATCACCCAGTTCCAACCCCCCTGCCCTGGGCAGGGACACCTCCCACCAGACCAGGTTGCTCCAAGCCCCATCCAGCCTGGCCTTGAACCCTTCCAGGGATGGGGCAGCCACAGCTTCTCTGGGCAACCTGGGCCAGGCTCTCACCACCCTCACAGGAAAGAACTTCTTACTAATACCTAATCTTGTCTTTCAACATCAAATAGTATTCAGCTTACTGATAAAGTATTGAGATAGAGACAAAAGCTTGAATTCAGCACTAAAAAAATCTTATCTTTAGTTTCCAGAATGTGGAGTTTTTTTAGAATTAGAAAGTACATTTCAGTGATAAGGAGCAATCATAACCTTTGGAACTTAATTTAAATTCTCTTAGAGTTCCACAAAATTCACATGAAATTTGGTTCAGGTCTCTCATATTCTCACAGGAATGTATACACTTGTTCACCACTTGCACCTATCTCCTTTGTTCCTTTGAAAACAGCAATTGTTTCCAAATCTGTAACACTGTCTGAAAAGGAAATGTACTCTCTCAAGAATATTTTAGGGTCAAACTCACAGATTCACGGATTTGACAGAGTAGGAAGGGACCTCTAGAGATCATCTAATCCAACTCTGCTGCTAAGCAGGATTGCCCAGAGCACATCACCCAGGACTGCATCAAGGCGGGTCTTGAAAATCTCCAGAGAAAGGGACTCCACCACCTCCCTCAGCAGCCCTGTTCCAGGGCTCTGGCACCCTCACCATAAAGAAGTTCTTCCTCATATTTGAGTGGAACCTCCTATGTTCCAGCTTGTGCCCGTTGCCCCTCGTCCTATCGCTGGAAACCACTGAAGAGTCCATCTCCATCCTTCTTCAACTCACCCTTTAGGAACTTGTAAACATAGATGAGGCCTCCCCTCAGCCTTCTCTTCTCGAGGCTAAAGAGTCCCAGCTCTCTCAGCCTTTCTTCATAAGGGAGATGCTCCCATCCTTGAATCATCTTCATTGCCCTACACTGGACTCTCTCCAGCAGTTCCCTGTCCCTCTTGAACTGGGGAGCCCAGAACTGGACACAGTATTCCAGTTGTGGCCTCACCAGTGCAGAGTTGAGGGGGAGAAAACTCACCTCAGCCTGAAGCAAGGGCAGTAATAACCGAAAGTAATGGAGTAACACAGGATTTGCTCTTGGAGCCAGGCATGGTAGGACGCAGGTAGCAGAATGTGGAAGGTGTAACAGAGGCATGAGAGAGCTGAACCCTCCTGCCCTCAGATAGAACACAGCTGGGTGAAAAAGTTAGGGGGAAAAGCCCAGATTTTGAGGAGGAATTAGGCACCTCAAGCTGCTGGAAGGCTGCCAGCGTGATTTTCAAACAACTCCAGCAGAATTTAGAAAAGATGCTCCTGAAAACCTCAGGGGCCACCGAAATATTTTTAAAAATATTCTGCTCTTTTGGAGAAGCAAGAAGACAGTTTCTAAACATTCATTACCTAAGGATCACAGGAAAGCAGTCATTAGTTACAGCTTCTCCCTGAACAGCAGCCACAGGGTCCTGGCATTTCAGCTTCACAACCACATCTCCACTGAACACCGTGGCTTCTCTTCTATTCCCCTACAAAAGATGAGTCAATTAAAACAGAGAAAACATACCTATAGCCTTATTCTGTCACAGTACTAAACGAAACCTGAAGACTAAGTGCATGTACAAGGAAGACTGAATTGTTTCCAGGTGTGTATGCACAACGCAGAGCCAGAGGTGTATGACAACATTGGGTCTATACTGTCAGAATTAACTAGACAAGCAAAGTACAGAATAAACCCCAGATGCTCTGATGCAGCCTGATTTGGAGTTTTTATACCAGCTATGACACGACCAGGAGGGGGAGGACTGGAAGGGCAATCTTACTGCTCTGGCAGTGACAGTTCAGGAATATAAAAACCTATCAGGTTGCCAAATATGCTAGTTAACTGCACATTTTAATGCTGTAAAAGATTGTCATGTACAACAGTTGGGATTTTTTAATGTGGTTTGATTTTGCTTCTTTTGAAATATTTTGTCCTCATCTCTGCTTGCCCTGAATCTAGATGCCACATACATTATAATTTATTGTGCTCCCGATGGCATTACTGTCTGCAAATCCAGCTTTTAAACCTTTCAAACGTACCAGTGATAACTGTATGGGACTGAATAGGGACATCAACATACACTTTATAATCTCTTTTATGCCTGGCCTACTGCCTCCTTCCTCTTTCATCAACTTTCTTTCTAACACTTTGTCTTAACTCCTTGCTGCAGGATTTGCCTTTGCAAACTATTTCTGCCTTTGACATAGAATATTGCCAGCGCCATTTGAAAAATCAAATTAATGTGAGTGGCAGACACTGGATTTCTCCTAAACCTCTTCATTCAAGTCCCATCAAACATATTGCATAAATAATTATGTCTATCCTTTCCTAACGTCATATGCTATAGAAGTGGACTAGTTACCCCTAGAAAACCTAAGATTTTTTAACGTGGCTACTAGATTAACACAGAGCAAAGATGAAAAGCAAACTCCCAGCTGATACAGGGCATAGGACACCAGCTGAGAGAACACTCCTGCACTGCACTAGAAGAAACTTCATAAAGGAATTATTAACAGACCTGACTTTCATAAAAACATAATGATGGAAGGCTGATATTCAGTTGAGTTATGAAGGAGAATTTTTTAATCCTAAATTCTCACTGATGAAAAATACCTCCTACTCCTCTATAAGAGGAGTATAATAGAGAAGTATATATAGAATACAACCTTGCACTGAATTTCTTGATATGAGTATGGAGCAATCCCTGGATATAGGAGTATCTTGCTGAAGAAATGCGTATTTCATGCAGCAACTGGCATGAGTCCATCAGATCAAAACCCTGAAATAATAATAATAAAAAAGTATAGGTTCAAACACAGAGCTGAGTGTATTTCCTGAGCCTGCAGCTGGCATCCATTCCTTTCGCTTCCCTGACCTCAGAATGAAGTATGAGGCAATAAAATTCTGAGGGAAAGGGAAGTCAAACGTGAAAGCAGAGAAGATGGAAGTCTCACCACCACGCAAAGCAAGAGAGAAAAATAAACCCAAACAAGACAGAGAACTGAAACAAAGATTGAAATGACAGTGGGAATGAAGTGCAAAGACAGAAGAAAAAAAGCTGTCAGAAATAATTAGGAGGGGCCTAAAAAGTAATCCAAGAAAACTGAAAAAGAGACATGAAGGGTCATTTTATAGCTAGTTAACTGTATCTGAAACAAATTATAATGTAACGTATCTCCTCTTTCAAGAGAAGTTGTAAGATTTTCTCCCCTTCTATTTGCTTTAATTAAGAAATTCCTGAACTGTACTTTGAAAGTGTCAAACAGCACTGTAATTTATCCAACAGCCACTGCTGAGGAGGTACAATAGTGAACTGAATAATTTAACGTTTGTTTTGTTTTTCAAATTTGTGAGTCTCCTGCTAATCTTTTTGAAATTTTTACATTTCTCTTTTTATTTACTACATTTGACAGCTTAATTTCCATTGAGATGTTGGAAAACGCCTATTAAAAATCCTGACAAGTTATGCCATTATTTAACTAAATTGACAGCAAAATAAATACAGAAATAAGTCCTTCTCTCTGAAATATGGATAATGAGCCCTTCGTAAGTTAGATAGGATCCAGATACTAAAAAAAAAATATCTATTAAAAACTCATGCTCCACTATATAAGGCAAATTCTAACTGAGGAAGCCATAAAGGGAAGTCCATTAGACAGCAATTTGATATAAACCGTCTTGTACCTTCCTGTCAAGGAACAGAAACATGAGCTGAAATTGAGGTTATTTGATGTGACTGTTACCATTTTTATATGACAAGATTTTGAATTTGAAAAAAATTCCCCTAGGAGGTCTAATAGGCTGTTTACCCACAACTGGTGGTGTAGAAAGCAAATTTGACTATTATCTAGGGAAGTTTCAAAGTGTCTCATGGGTCATAATTCTTACCACCAATACAATAATGGTTCTGCAGAAGTCAAAGGATGCCACAGCATTGAGAACTACAAATGACTTGGGCAAGTAGCAAGAGGCAACAAGGACCATTGTCGTATATGACTGCTCAGCTATAATTAACTGTGAGCAGCTTTCCTGCCTTTTGTAATACATAGAAGTCAACTCCACCTCTTCCTAAAGACTGTTCATGCTCAGCTACAACTCAGAAACAGTAGAAGCAGCTCTTCCTTACCACCTTGCAGCTGTTAATCTCCAGGTCTCAATATTTACTTATTTCTCTGTGGATGACTTATTCCAAGAGCAGAAGGAAACATCTGGGAAGAAGCTCATTTGTCCAGAAGGACAAGCACCCCTCCTGTCCTCAAATTCAAAGGAAGATTTTTATTAAAAGTTGATGAAATATAAAATGATCTTACGATTTAATGAACAGAAAGAAAACCAAGAACAATAAAATCCCTCTCACCTTGCCCAATAGGTTACCATTATAAAAAACCCCAGAGGAATTCCCTGGTCATTGCCCATGTCACACCCGAGGCAAGGAGATTAATGGCTTAATCCCTCATGTTTATCGATAAATAAATTAGCTATATCAACATTCTCAAGATTTATTTTTCCTAAAATTGCTTTTTATGGGACTTGTCAGGCTCCTAACTTGTTCACCATAGCACTAAGACTTAATTTTAAATTCTTTTAGAGGCCTGGGGCTTTTACATGTAATAATGAAAACATAGTTTGATATAATTAAAAAATGGCTTGAATTTTAACAAGCTTCTATCAGTATCAATCTATCAATAAGAAACCACTGCAGTTGAGCTGCATAAAAATTGGCTGATTAAAAAAAATCAGAACATTCTTCAATATATCATTCCAATTTATCCCAATCCATGATATGTCAAAATACTGAGATTTTTAAAGAAAAGTGCCAATTTTAAGTTTGGAAACATTTAAACATGTAGTTCCAAACTTCTCTGTCAAAATAAATACTTTAGACACTTGACATACATTTCTGTGCTGAACAAAATTAAAATGCACAATATGCATGAACTACACCTTCTACATCCTTTTTTCAGCCAATGTATTTCTTGATAAGCAAAATGTCAGTTTACTATATAGCAGACATATCCTCCAGCTTGTTTGTAGTCAGGAATTTTGGGAGATTTCTTTTTCGAGACACGGATAACCTATTCACCCTTGCTTCTACCTGGCCTAATTTACTCAGGGATAATTAGTTTACTTTCAAAGTTCTTTCTATTTTACATAATTTTGGTGTCCTTATTCATGATATGAAGAAAGGCATAGATAAAATCCAAAGAATGATGACATCACCAGGTTTTGCTTTGCTTGCTTTAACACCGAAGTGATGGTTCCCCAAAAAGGTCATGATTATCACAGGGAAGTGCACTGATTTCCTGCCCAGTCCCCATCTGCTCCCACGCTAACTTGAGGACAGATGCCCAAATCCAAAGCCCTGTGAAGTGTAAGAGAGGACCTTCACCAGGAAACCCCCTGGGAATTGAAAGGCCAAGTCAAGTCCTAACTTGAGGACAGATGCCCAAATCCAAAGCCCTGTGAAGTGTATGAGAGGACCTTCACCAGGAAACCCCCTAGGAATTGAAAGGCCAAGTCAAGTCGCATCAGGGGAGGTTTAGGATGGATATTAGGAAAAATTTCTTCCCCAAAAGGGTTATCAAGCATTGGAACAGGCTGCCCAGGGAAGCGGTGGAGCCACCATCCCTGGAGGCATTTAAAAGACGGGTAGACATGGTGCTGAAGGACATGGATTAGTGGTGGTTTTGGCAGAGTTGGGTTAACAGCTGGACTTGATGATCTTAAAGGTCTTCTCCATGATTTTCTGAAAATCTGTCAGTTCTTGGCTTCGGCTCCCTCTGGTGGGTAATACACACTCCAGAGAGCAGCAACTACTGCTAAAGGTAACCACCAGGAAAAAAACCCCAACAGGCAGGTTGCTGTATTTTTCCTAAAATATACAGAAATACAGCAGCTGGGTAAACCACATTGTAACTGAGGTCTGAGCTTTAAGCTACAACTTGATACATCCATCCCCAAAAGAGGCAGATGCGTGGTTCCTGCCAGAACTCCCTTCAAATTCAGAAAAGAGATGGGGGGTTTGGTTCAGGCAGAAAACTATTTTCAGCACCTAATGTAGATTAAAATAAAATAAGGAACTAGTTAAACACTACTCTTTTTGACAAGAACATTCACTTGGATTTCTGTTCTTGACTGTTACTTTGAGACCTAAAGTTTGATGTTCTTTCTCAAAAACATTTTGTTTGCAGGTTTCAGAAAATATTAATTATTTCACAAACCTCACACCTCAAAGATTCTTGATTTGTTTCAAGGAGTTTAAAACTCGCAGTGATTAAAGAAGTGAACCACTTTCAGACTAATGAAGAATAAATTCATCTTTTTAATGGACTGAAAAGAAAACCACGTTTCTTTCTTTACCAAACAACTTCTGAACAGAAGGAACTCGGCACTAACCTGGTCGGCTGCGGTTTCTAAGTGCTTGAAACCAGATTTTCCTCCTGTCTGTGCCACTGGTTAAGGAGCTGCAGCTCTTTGTCAGGCTCAACGGCAGGTTTATGCTTGAGGAGTGAAGATGACACATTAAACAGATCCTCCTCACCTGAAATGTTTGAGTCTGATTCTCTCTTAAAGAGTCGATTCCAGTTACATCTTCTTTTGATGATTTGCCAGTTCCCCGAAAGCGTTGAGTAACACCTGCCCGACGATCACCCGTCTGCGCTGCTTTTCTCACTCAGAACTGTCTCTTTTGATTCCCCGCGAGACGCAACACTTAACGTTTTCCTGCTTTTGCATTAATTCAGCTAGTTTCACTCTTCCAATTATACCTTTAATTAATTCCAAGTTTTGCTTTCATAACATTCCTGGGATGACGGGATCATCAGGCTTTCACCCAACAAAAACCTGAAAGTGATGAAAAAGGGAACACGTACAGAAAGGAGACAAATACAGCCCTGATTTACATACAGCACAAAAGCCAACCCAACAGGTTTCTTACAGTGTGCATCAGTCAAGAATTTGCTTCACCCTCCCTTCTTCTTTTGCATTCTAGGTTTACAATATGCCCTTTCTTTAGATAATAAAAGAATATTAATATTAGTTTCTAATATTATTACTATAATAATAAAACATCAATATTTGTGTATATAAATACACTTATTGTACCCTAAAAATAAACTGAATTCCAAAATTAAGTAAAAAGATCCTGAAAACCTTACAACAAATGTTTGATGTCTCATCTCCTGATACTTCTTCAACTTTCTTCAACATTTCACATGGTGATCACTTCCCACACCACCTGGAAGCCCCCACCTCAGGTCCAGCAGCTGGAATTACAACTCTTTCCTTGCAGTAATTGTGTAAGTGAGGATAGGATTCTTCCATTAATGCATTTTTTTCTGCCTCTCATTCTAGTAGAAATAAGCATAATGAGATCAGGCTGTTGTAATAAAAAAATAATTGCAGTTGTGATTATTTTGCCGCATTTGATGGCAACAAAAGCTTTGAATGAGTCAGGGGGTAAATATTTCTCAAATAAGACAGATTTTTTTTTTAATAGGGAATATACTTTGCACATTTGTAACTTCAGTGAAATGATGTAATGATGCACTTTACCATGACTGTGCACACATGCACAAGCGTGGCAAATTGCATTTTAATCATTCTGCTCACAGGACACGCACTTTAATTGGAGATTTAAACTTGAGCATTATATTACATGCAATGTGATGCAGATTATCTTAATTAGTTCCAGGTGTGAGGCATCAGTACCAGTCAGTAGTTTATATTAATTTTTTTTTCCTCTTTCTCCCCCACCCAATATACCTTTCCATATAAAAGCTACGAAGGAAACATAGTGATACCAAGTACCATTTTTTGCCCATGCTAGGAAAAAAAAAAACAGGGTAGGGATATTATCTGTAGGTAGACATGGTGAAAAGAGTTGAAGAACTCTTGTCATGCCATGAAATTAGGAAAGAAAAGGTAACTGCTTTTGAACTCATCTGGCTCAACAGTTACATCACACACACACACTCGCTAATAAACTCATGTATCTGCTTGCACTCAGGGCATTTTAAACATCACAATAAGCAAGCTGGCAAAGACAGGAATATCCAAAAATAGTGGATCCACATTCATATAAGCTACTGCAATTATCTTGTAGAACTTCATCTTTTTAACTCTTTCAGACTGATTGGTGACCAAGCGCAGGCAGCCTTTGTTGACAGCACACACATGGATTTCTTTCATCCCAGAGAAGTAAGCATTATATCTCCTCTCCTTCCATCAAATGAAGAGGGATAGAACTAGAGCTCATTAGCAACACGTTAGAATCTGCACCAACTTCTTTAACACAAATTTATTGACAGCAATGCTTAATCACAGGGACTGTAGCTATACAGTCAACCTGAAATTATCCATAAGCATTTGTATGTCACAGGTGGACTGCACGGAGAGAGACTCTGAAGTTGGTACTAAGGCCACTCAGATCCACTCAGTTTTATTAAAGCAAATTTGTTTGCTTCTATTCTAAGTCATTCCGTTTCAAATGTCCACTTTTTCCCCAGGGACAGTTTGCTTACTTTATTCACTTCTGCAAAGTGAAAACTTTCTTCCCTTTTCAGATTTAGAAGCAGATTGAAACTCAGGTTTTATATTGCTTTCCTACTAACGGGGACACTAGGATGCAAAGCACTAAGCATCTGCTTGGACACGACCAGGGGGAGAAAAAAATACCTCAACACCACC